CCTGGGAGTTCCCCCACCGCGATCGCCGGCGTGGGACCACCGGCGACCGGGTAAGTAAGGAAAGACCAGAGGGCGTACTATTACGCCCGGCGGCGTTTAGAGCCGCCTAAAAGAGGGCGTAATAGTACGCCCTCTGGTCTTAAGGGGTTAACAGAGATCAGACAATGCCTGATATTTATAAGTTAGGCAATTCTAATCTACTAAACTACTGTACTAGATTTGTATTGGTAAATTTAAAGCATTTTGCAGACCCAGAAGAGGATAAATAAATAATATAATAATCTCACTAGGAGCCAAATTATGGAAAGAGGTTACCCAATTAACTCACTAACAAGTTAAACTTGTTTTTTTGAAAAGCATATAAAATTTAGCTTTTGTGGTTAGTGTAACGGAATTGTACCTTCTGCCTGGACATAGTTGACTCTACATAAGCCTGGGAATACAAAGAAATATACTTACCTGGTGATGTGGATTAATATAACACAGTTCGGGACTTCTGTTGCCAGTATTCGGCTATTTGTACCATCCATGCGATAGAGACATAACAGACATCCAGAGAAATACAAACTGCCGAACATCGGACCACCCTGCTGTTCAATTGAGCAGTATTTTACCTCCCAGACCGGCATATACAGTTCGCATGATAACTGCACGAATCCTTTGTGTTAAATCTAGGTGGCCGCCATTTCGGGACTTTGCACGTGTTCGCGGCCATCTTAACGCACGAACAGCGGTGATTTGCCGTCGAGTGTCTGGAACTAAAAACGGACACTCGAGTAGGCGAACACCGCTGAGACCTCCATAACAACAGAACTTCATGCTGAAATTACCGAACGATCGGCCGTTCGGTAGAGAGGATATACTATGTATGGGGATTCCAGCGAACCCCAAGGTACATGCGGATGGCAGGATTTTTGTGCATTTTCATCGCACGAACGGGGACCAACTGCAAGGCCAAAACTTATGGAACTATTTTCGGCTACAGTGTCTGTGCGGTCGGTCAAAACTTTAAAGACCCATAACTCCCGAACGCTTTTACCGAATGGGATGAATGTTTCATATGTTGTTCCCCTGAATTTAAGGATGTACCCCCTGTTTTTGGAGTACATCCAAAACTTGGGTAAAAATGTGTGTGCTATAACTATGTTAACTGTTTATCTGAGGGGAGGAGACGTGGGGGTTGTACCATGTTTGTGATTGGGTATTGTATTAATTATGTAGGTGTTGCCCTCCCAATGGCAGAATTGCATAAAAGGAAACCCCCTGTCAATAAAAGTTAGTTCTGCTTGACCCTTCAAAACGTAGCCTCGTCTTGTTCTTGGAAGGGGATTTACTGCACCATTACTTTGCTCCATTTTACAGCTATGCTTGCTTTCAATCTTGGATCTTGTGGATGGGAATAAGAACAACTCCATTATTATACAGCACCTTGCCAGGGGAAGGACGTCTGATACCCACTCATCACCTGGGTAGCCGTTACAGTTAGACTTTTTGTTTTGAATATTTTTTTATTTTATGCACAATAGAAATTCAGGCATCAAACTGATTTATAATAAAGCAAATGATTGCCCACGCAGGGGCTTAAACATTGGTTTAACACAGTATTCCTTTGGTTGCCTGCGCAGAGGCGGATTTGTTTTAAATGTTTCCTTTGTATTTGGCATTGCAAGTACAAGCAGGTAGTCATTCTTGTTTCATGGATAGCTTATGGTTGCCTGTGCAGAGGCGTTTCAGATAAAACATGCAGGTACATTAGGAACTAGGGTTTTTAACAGATACATGCTCTACAAATCAATATGACTTTGTTCTAGTTGTGGTTTTTTAGATTATTTTACCATTCGTCTTGTTGTTTGTCATCTAGTGGTGTGTTGCTAGGGATAGGCAGGTAAACAGAGTTGTTACCAGAGAGGCATGGTGGTGACGGCGTGAAGGCCTAAGGCTAGTCTTGGGGCGTAGTTCCCCATTTCATGTGGGAGTTTTGGTGGGTATTCAGCTTGTGTGTCTGTGGATGGTGCGTTGTTTGTGTTTTGTCGCTGTGTGTAGGTGTGGGGCGTGAACTGTGCGCTTAGGTGGTGATTGCCGTCATTGTTTTAGGTTGCCCGGGCGGTCTTTATGGTGCCCGAAGACTTTTGTGGCTGCGTTGATTATGTTCTGTGTTGGTGGTCTAGGGAGGCAGTTGTTGTCTAACCTATGTCTCTGGTGCCTGCGAGGCCTGTGTATGTGTGTGTATGTGTGTGTATGTGTGGCTATGCTCCTTGTGGGGCGTGCCTCTTGTATTGCTGCCCTCTGGTGCTTGGTTTCGCCTTCGGTTGTGTTCGGGGAGCATGTGGGGGTATGTGGCTTGAGTGGGCTGGTCGTAGAGTGCAGTGTTGCCCCCTTCTCTGTGGTCATGGGGTCACGTCATCGTGTGGCGGTGGAGCGTGGGTCTGAGTCTCGTGTTAGGTAGGTCCGTGGGGATCTGCCTTCTGCATTGGGAGCTGTGGCTCTACGGGGTCCAGTCCTCAGTGTGGTTCTTGTTGCCTCCCGTCAGTGAGTGGGTGGTGTGAGGTTGGCATCCGCTGGGGGGGAGGGGGAGAGATGTGGTTGAGGGTAACCTGCCTTCAGGTCGCCAGGGGTGCAGGCACCCGATTGCCTCATAGTTGCGTATCCTAGGTTTAGGGTGGGTTCAGGTATTGTAAGAATTCATCTGTAGCGATGTGTCGTATCCAGTGGAACCATCTGGTCATGTGCTTTTTTTTCGCTGCTGCCTTGGTAGCTTTCAGGTCCTCGAATTTTCTTATGTCCTTCACCTCCTCCACCCAGTGTCTGAGTGGGGGGCACGTGGTTGTTTCCAGAATATGGGGATAGTCGTTTTCACCGCGTTGAGCAGGCGTGGCACCACTGATGTTTTATAGGTCGGAGTGGGCATTATTGTGTGGTGTAGTAGGAAGAAAGCTAGTGACATGGGTGGGGTGTCGTCTGTCACTCTGTGGATGACTTGGCGTATCGCTTCCCAGAACGGTTGGATGAGGGTACAGCCCCACCAGATGTGGAGGAATGTTCTGTCCTCCTCTCCACATCTCCAGCACGTGGCCGGTATTGAGTTGTGGCATGCGTGGAGGGTGGTGGGGGTGATATACCACCTGGTGAGGATTTTGTATGCGTTTTCCTGGTGTCTAGCTGAGCTCAGGGTCGTTTGAACATGCAGGATGATTTTGTCCCAGTCCGCGTTGTTGAGTTCTTCTACTAGGTCCTCTTCCCATCGTCTGATGCATGGGGGGGCCAAGAGATATCTGTTTGTTACTAGGAATTTGTATATCAAGGAGATTGCTCTCAGTGGGGCTTTGTCCTGTCTGCACAGGGTTTCAAACTCTGTGCAATCTCTTGTCAGGTAGGGGCATTGGGGGATGGAGTGTGCGTAGTGGGACATTTGTTCCCTCGCCAACTTGTGAGCGAATGTGTGTCTCTGGTCCGGGAAGATGGCCTCGATCGGTCTGATTGTGAATGGGGATGAAATGATATCCACCATTCTAAGTGTCGTGTTGCCGTTTGCTGGGCGCGTGGTAGGGCCCATGCCGCCCGCCGGGAAGTCCGGGTTGCCTTTTAAGGGAAGTAGCGGGCAGGTGTTGGTCGTAAGGTAATGTTTGGGGCCATTCTGGTGCCAGATACGTAGGGTGGCTTTCACAAATGGGTTGGTGTGCGGTAGTTGTTTGGTGGCTTCCTTCATGATCCATGGGAGGGTCGTGAGGTCGCATTCGGTGGCGTCTGCCTCTAATTGTACCCAGGGTTTGTCCCTGGTCTTTACCGACCAGTTGATTATTCGAGTGAGGTGTGTCGCTAGGTGATATTTCCGCAAGTCTGGGAGAGCCAGGCCCCCTTTGAGCTTGGGGAGAGTCAGCTGGGTGTGGGTGATTTGGGGGAGCTTCCCTTTCCAAATGAAGTTATGGATTATGGCTTGGGCGGTGGTGAAGAATGACTTTGGCGCCTCTATGGGCACCGTTTGGAAGATAAAGAGGAACCTGGGTAGCAGGGTCATTTTCACTGCGTTTATGCGTCCCATCCAAGAGATGTATGTTGTACTCCATGCTTGGAGTTCGGCCTGCGCTGTTCACAGAAACGGTAGGTAATTGTGGGTGTAGAGGACCGTCGTGTCTTGCGTGAGCCATATCCCCATTTATCTCATCTTGGTCGTGCACCATCGGTATGGGAAGCGTTGCCGAAGTTCGAGTTGTTGCGGGTACCGGATTGTTAGGCCTAGGATTTCCGATTTGGTGTCGATGATGCGCATGTTGGATACCAGGCCATAGGTCTCAAATTCCGTTTTGATCGTCTGTAGTGATCTGGTGGGTTCCTGTACTAGAAAAAGAAGATCGTCCGCATAGGCCAAAACTTTGTGGTGCGTTTGGCCTATTTGCAGTCCGTGGATCTCCTCGATTTTGTTGAGGAAGGGTTCTAGGGTGAGTGCAAATAGTATGGGCGACATGGGGCAGCCTTGGCGCGTCCCGTTTCCGATTTGGAACGAGTCTGTAAGTGCCCCGTTGATTCTGAGCCGTGCTGTCGGAGTGGTATATAGTGCTTCCACCCATTGAATGTATCTGGGTCCAACGCCTATGGTCCGGAGGGTCTCGAACATAAAGTTCCAGTCCACCCGATCAAAAGCCTTTTCGGCATCTGTCGAGAGAAGTAGGGATGGTCGTGCGGATAGTGATGCCACGGAGATCAGGTTCAGCGCCCGTATGGTGCTGTTCCTGACCTCCCTGCCTGGGATGAAACCCGTCTGATCAGGATGTATCAGGTCCAGCAGGAGAGGTGCCAGGCGGTTTGCCAGCACGCTGGCCAGTAGCTTGATATCGACATCGAGGACCGAGATCGGACGGTAGCTCTGGCAGGAAGTTGGGTCTTTGCCGTCTTTTGGGAGGAGCGTGAAGTTTGCTGCCGCGAATTGGGCTGAGGGCGTCGCCCCGTCGAGGATTGAGTTCAGGGATTTATGCAGTTTCGGGAGGAGTTCGGGCTGAAAGGTCTTATAGTATTGTAACGGCAGGCCGTCTGGTCCTGGCGACTTGCCCGTCTGCGCTTTTTTGAAAGCGATCAAAATTTCCTCTGGGGCAATGGGTACGTCCAACAGTTCGCGGTCCGGGTCGGTTAGTTGGCGTAGCCCTGTCGGTTAGTATGGTATTGTGACCGCGGGTTTCTGCGGTGTCTTGTTCCTCTTTCCGTATGTTGTATAAGTCTCGGTAGTAGTTAAGGAATGTGGTGGTGATCTGGTCTGGAAGGTGGTGCATCCGCTGGGACAGGTCTTTAATTTTGTTAATGTAGAGATGTGTCCTACGTTGCTTCAATAGATTTGCGAGTAGTCTGCTGCACTTATTCCTGTGTTCGTGCACTAGGTGTCGGAAGTGCTGGAAGGATCGTTGGATGGAGCGGTTCATGTGCTCGGCTAGCTAGAAGATCCCTATAGGTTGTGGCATCCAGTGTCCGTTTGTGTTGATTCTCCAGAAGGGCTATGTCCGTGCTGAGATCCGTTACTGTTTTCGTTTGTGCCTTCTTCCGTGCCGAGCAGTGTGCGATAAAGTGGCCTCATATGACCGCCTTATGTGCCTCCCAGCATGTTAGGGGTGTAGTGTCCTCAGTTTTGTTGGTGTTGAAGTATTCCTTGTGGTCCTGTGTGGTCCTCGCCACCAGTGTGGGGTCTGTTAAAATGGACTCGTTGAGTCTCCAGGAAACTTGGCGAGGTCTGAGTTGTGGGGATGTGAGCCGTATGTGGACTGGGTTATGGTCTGACCAAGTCATCGGTAGAATTTCTGCCTGTACCAGGAGGGGTAGGCTGTGGTAGGGTAGTAGGAAGTAGTCCAATCTCGAGTATGTGTTGTAACGGATCGCCTGGCACCCCAACTGGGTACCTCCGTTAAAGGATGCTCCTAGCTCTTCCTGAGGACTCCAAGCACTGCAGCAGACACCACAACCACCGAACTGGAGAAGCATATGAATCCTCTCAAGCATTTGAATGCTGTAGACAGTTGAATAGGAACCATACGAATAGGTTTACTCTCCTAGCAGTCAAACTGGAACAGCATACAATAAATCCTTCCCCCAATAATGAGGCGACACTTCACTTTGAGGGTTAAGCAGGAACTCCCTGTACTGTCACATACAGTCTCTTTTATTCCCAATCCACAAACATAGTACAGCCCACAGGGCGTTACAAAACAACCAATCAATCCGTATAATACACTCAGACACTCCCACACAAAATCCTCCCCTTTGCCTGTGATATGATTACTGAACACAATGGGTAATCTCATTATCACCGGCAGAGGAATACAGTTTTTACACAATATTTATAACTTCTAAAATATACATGTCACAAACATAAAACATACATTTTCATAATCAATCCATTCAGGGGAACAACATATTAAAAAATGGCACGAATCAGACCAGGGGTTCAAAAGTTAAGGGAAAGTCCTTTGTGACTAAATGAAGCATGGCTTTCCGGCCCAGTGGTACGGGATACCTGCTGCCTGGAGTGCTGCTGTTACTGGTTGGAGGTTCTTCCTGGCTTGCAGTGTATAGCAGGAGAGGTCTTGGAAGACCATCACTTCTTGATCTTCCAGCCTGATGCGGCCCATTCGGCGGGCGTTGCGGAGAATATCTTCCTTGAGGGTAAAGTTATCCATTCAGCAGATGATGTCACGTGGTTGCTCCCCCGGCGCTGGAGGTGCACGGAGTGCGCGGTGGGCCCATACGAGGCCTATTCTTGGTTGTTGTCCCCCCAGGCAGAGTCTGAAAACTGTGCGTAGGATCTCTGGGATGTTTTCATTGGGGCCCATCTTTCTGACCCCACGCACCCTGAGGTTCATTCTGCGGCTCCTGTTGTCCAAGTCGTCGACCCATGTTGTGATATGGGTCAGGCTCGATTCACAGCCTGTGATCGTGGAGACCGCAGCGTCGGTTTCTGCGCGGAGGGCCCGTGTGTCCGCTTCTGTTGCAATCAGCGTGGCATCCATGTTGGCGATATCCGCCTTCACCTGGGACAGCTCACTGGGGATCACATGGCTGAGGCGGTCCGACAGCGCCTCGAGGTCTGCCTTCGTCAGGAGGGTGCGTAATATGGCCCTGAGGTCTCCCTCCAGTGCCCCCCTGAGTGTCGAGTGGGTCTGATGGTGTCGGGGAGAAATGCACGGGAGTTGCTGGGGGCGAGTCCACGGTCGGGCCTGGAGTCTCTGTGTCTGGTGGAGTCCCGGGATCCCATGGCGTGGTGAGGTAAGAGCGGATGGAGTGCTCCAATGGCCTGGGGGTGCCGGGGGGATCTGTCTGCTTCCTATTGCACCCCATTATCGGTGCTGGATGCGTGTGGTGCGCCTATGAAAGCAATTTGTCGCAGTGACCACGAGGAGCTGGTGAATTAAGCGGCCATCTTCTTCGGCAGTTAGGCACGCCCCCCCAGTTAGACTTTTTGATACTCAATTTGAACCAGGTACAGGAAGCAATATGCTTTTTAATATTTGCAATATTTTAGTGTTTTCAATATATTCTGACAATGGAAACGTTGTGGTGAACATTCAGCAAACAAAAGAAGAACTTAGAACTATGTGGAAGCTGACCTTGTCTTGTTGTCAGCTATTGCTACCCTTGGCTGATTTCTTTATACTCCTTGAAAGACTTATTCTATTTTTCTGAACTATGCTGAACTATTTTATTATTTTATTTTTGTAGAGTTAGCCGGAGAGAGAGGAAGTGTTAGCTGACCCAGGGATGGATGCACTGTGTCTCTTTGATATATGTTGAGTGTGCCAAGGTTTGATTCCCAGATTTTAAGGAACGGAGTATGGATATGACTGGACCTTTGGAATAAGGAAATGGTTAAAAGATATAGGACGCAAGGCTTGGTTGCGATTATTGTCAGAATTGCAGACTAGATTATAATTTATCTCATGATTTAATATGTAAGTGGGCCTTTTCAACAATCAAGAAGTGTTTCCCAATTCCTCCCGATACCCGAGCTATGTACTCACAGGTGCAAGTATTATAAGTCACAAGTGGTGTCACCGTGAGGGGATGACATGTCTACATGATCGTGGCCCCCACTCAGGGTTTCCCCAGATGTGCTTTTTCCTCAAATATGAGTTTTTGCCACTGGGTTTTTTGACCTAGCCCCAGATCAGCGGGTGGACTGGTGATTCTAGACCCTGGTCCACAGATGGGGTATAGGTATTATTCCCACTTTGACTATTTGCATTCACGTTGTGAATGAAGGAGGAAAAATGTGGGGAATAATACACTTTCCCTATACTGACCCAAGGCTCAAGCTACAGATGACAGAATGTTCCGTCTGTTAAACCCCTTAATGACCAAACTTCTGAAATAAAATGGAATCATGACATGTCACACATGTCATGTGTCCTTAAGAGGTTAAAATTGGTTAACATCTCAGCTATTTGAAATAATATACTTTATCTATAGTCAATGCTTAGTGAATATACCCCTAGACAAGAGCTGTAGAACATTGTATTCTAGAACAAGTGTTAGTGTTATGTCCTGCATGTTTCTGCTGTTGGCCTTATTTCCTGTTTTTCTCTCTTTGGTCATAAACTGCATAGTAATGTGTAATTTAGAACTTTAGAATGTTAAGATAAGATAGATGATTTTGTTAGGATTGGATAATGCTTGTAAGACCACCCCTGTTTAGTCTTGAACATAACCCGTTACACTGTCATTAAATGTTAGAAGTCACTTTGAACCTTGTCTTGTATCGTTCATTGGGGGCTCCTCACCAGCTGGTTTGGGGACAAGGAGAAATACAGAGAGTTGCAAATTGATACAAAAGACCATGGCAAGGGAAAATTCCTGACAGAGAAAACTCACTATCAGTAGCCTTTAATTTAATTAATAAAATTGGAGGGGTAATACTTGATCAAAAGCAGAGATTGCTTTACTACATGTAATTGATAATGAAGATGTTAGAAAGGCAGACATGCTAATAATACATTGCCTTATGGCAACCAAGACCCTAATTGTCAGAAACTGGAAAAAAAAACGGATATTGCGATTAAAGAACCTCTTAAAACTGTCACATCCTACTCTGTTCTGCGGAAATGTCTGGCCTTGGCTTCTGGTATCCAGTACTCTTTTTACAATTTTTGTTTAGTTTTTCTTGGCTTTTCTGGTTTTCTATTCCATATCTGGTTTTCTGGGTTCATTCCTGCATTCCGTTCCTGGAATTCCTAGTATCTTGGATTCCTTTAAATGTTTGTTTTTTGTTGCCCCACCCGTTCCTTTCCCATTTATCCTTTTGTTTCAGTTGCTTCCTGCAGGCAGTTGTTTCTAAGTCCTTTGCCCTTTCTTGCAGGTAAGTGCTGCATGTGTTTTATTATTAGTCAGTCTAGACAGTCTAGGAACCCACCGTAATTGGAGTACTTTGCTGCAGTGGTGGGCTGCATACATCTTGGCCATTTATGTATGTCTAAATCTCCAATGTTTTACATATATAGTACTTAGTTATGGCTCTTCTTGTTTTGCCTTGTATCTCTTGTCTTATTTTATTTTGTCTTGTATTTCCAGTTCATGTACAGTGCTGTCCTGCCCTGTTCTTGTTTTCCTCATGTCTTGTGTACATGTTCTGGGTTCTGCTTTCTGTCCTGCTCCAGTTCTGGGTTATCCTAGTTTTGTCTTGTTTGGCGTCTGTTCTAGTCTTGCCTTGTTTCTGTACTGGATACATATCTGCCTCAGAGCTCCCTATCCAGTTTCTGGGAGCTCTGCATATTATCTAGATCCTAGCTCTTGCAATCCGCAGAAGCTGCATCAGGGCCCTGGTATGTGGCCGCACAAACGCTGGTGCTCAACACCAGGGGGCGTGGGGTTACCTTGCACCAGGCCCTGATGGTCCATTACCACGCTGAGACTCCCATCATCACCAGGCACTCAGGGGTCCCGGTCTCCATACCGCCACCCATGACAAAAGAGACTCTGTCCTGAGGTGGCCTCCCCAACCATCACCAGGGAAATCACAGAACCAGAGAAATTAGAGGCCAGTTCCTCAGTTCCAAGGTATCCAACAATAATCTGGTACATGTCTATGTCTTTACCTCTTGGTAAAGAGACAGCACAATCACAATCTTTGGCAAAGACCTGGAGGTCGAAACGTGTGAGTGTTGTGGACTATTTATTTCATGTTATTTTAAACTTCTTTTTGTTTCTAGTGTTATTTTGTATGGGTCTGATGGTGTCGGGGAGAAATGCGCGGGAGAATAAGCTTATTATTCATCTGCCTTCGAAGTCAGAGCAAGCTTTATGTGGCTCTGCATATTGTGAGTGACCCAATACCTTAATAATTGATCATTTTTCCTTGTGTTACAGTATTATACTATGCATTTGTTTATTTTTTTTTAAAGCCAGATCAGGAGGTGTTCAACCCACTATACTAAGTATCCAGCCAAGTATTGTATATTTCTTTGCACCCCTCTTATACTCATTTCTTCCTCTTTTATAGCGTTTATAACTAGTGATGTCCTGAACGGTTCGCCAAACGGTTCGCCACGGATGGCGAACATATGAGCTGTTCGGTCCGCCCCCTATTCATCATCATTGAGTAAACTTTGACCCTGTACCTCACAGTCAGCAGACACATTCCAGCCAATCAGCATAAGACCCTCCCTCCCAGACCCTACCACCTCCTGGACAGCTCACTAAGAATGCAGCTTCACAATGAATGTAAAACGGATGATGTCCAGGAGGTGGGAGGGTCTGGGAGGGAGGGTCTGCTGCTGATTGGCTGGAATGTGTCTGCTGACTGTGAGGTACAGTGTCAATGTTTACTCAATGATGACGAATAGGGGGCGGACCGAACAGCGCATATGTTCGCCATCTGTGGCGAACCGTTCGGCGAACCGTTCGGGACATCACTATTTATAACCTAAGCACAGTTATACTGATAGTTCCCTTCAAGGGAAACTGATACAATAGTATACTAAACTAAACTATAGTTATTGATTATATTTACTCTATTGATACTCTGTGTCTCTTAGTATTGCCAGTTTAATTTTCACTGGCATTTCTAAATCTACACTGCTAATTGCTTACACTTGGACTGCTGTAATCTCAGAAACAATTAGGATTATTCTATTTTAGTTCTTTTCCCATTTTATTTATACAGTTTTTTTTTTTTTTTGCCTTTTGTTCTATACTATTAATAGTTTTAGAATTTAATATGTTTTGGTATATTTGTCGATTTTCAACGACAAGCTTTTAAACAAATTCATTAAATGTTATGTTTTAATTAATTGGCACCTGTAGGCAAACACCTTCCTATTTAATCACATTGTGTGTATGTATGCGTGCATCAGTGTGTCAAGGTGTGTGTATGTGTCAGTATGTGTATCTGTATGTGTCTGTGCTAGTGTCTGTATGTTGGTTTGTGTGTCAAGGTGTCTGTGACAAACAAACATAGATGCATACACACACACTAAAACCCACACTAAAATAAACACACACATACTAATACACACACACTGACAAATGCACACAACTTGACACACACACTGACACATGCACACAGACCTACACAAACCTTGACACACTGATGAACAAAAACATACACACACTGACAGAAACACACATACTGACAGAAACACACACTGACACCCATAAACACATATAGGTTATAATTTTGTATATTTACAACCACCCTCCTGTTAGCTTACCTATTGTGTCCAGAAGGGTCGTTGCTTGTGGTCCTGCTGTCTGAGGTCAATGGGAGTGTGTGGTCTGGAGCAGTTCTCTCATTGCGCCCCTCACCACATCATGCCTGTTCCTTCTCCTCATCCTCCCTCATGTGTGGCGCTATGTAAAGCTGGAAGAAAGTGATCAGTTGTCACTTCCTACCAGCCCGCAGATACTGCAGGGGTCTGGTAGCATTCTTAAAGGGTTACGATGCCTGACTGGGCCCCTGTACAGTAATAAAGCAATCTTACCAATCAGAAAAGTGAATGAAAAAAGTATGCGTCCTTTCCACTCACTTTCTCAATAAAGAGCTTCTGTCAGCTAATGCTCTCAGCCTACAAGCGACACCCGGACCAAGGCTTCAGACCTTTAGGAGAAGTGTTTGGGGTTAAACTGATAATGGTTTAACATCTTAAGGTGAGATGGTGCCATGGACCTCATGACACCATAACTTTATTGTGATGAAGGTGTTATGGTAGCCTGAGTAACCCTTTAATGCCACAACCACAACATGGGATATTAAAGGGACACTATAGTCAGCTTAATGAGGTTGTTCAGGTGAGACCAATAGCTCCCTGCAGCCTTTCTCATGTAAACACTGTATTTGAGAATATACAGTGTTTACATTCAAAGCTAGGGACACCTCCAGTTGCAGTCACTCACAGTGAAACAGAGGGACTTCCAAGTTGATTGAGGCATAAATTGCATCAATCCACTCAGATCTGCTGTCAGCAGAGCTCTGGGCAGCTCTGGCAGAACTGTGCACGAGCATCCTGTCTGCGTGGGAGTGGCTTGAGCAGGCAAGCTGAAGACAGGAGACCGAGGAGGAGGGGAGGATTCAAACTGTAAGTAAACTAATTTAGTGAGTGTGGGTGGGTGACTGGATGGATATGGATGATGGGCATGGATATGGATGATGGGGATGGATATGGATGATGGGGATGGATATGGATGATGGGGATGGATATATATGGATGATGGGGATGGATGGATATGGATGATGGGGATGGATGGATGGATGGATGGAGAAAGAGTGTGTGTGTAGGTCTTTCATTTTTTACTACTTGTGTGTTTGCATAGAAACACTATGTATAGAGAGATCTCTATATATAGTGTTTCTATGCAAGCATGCAAACACACAGTTTGGCTGAGGAGGGGGGTGGGTATAGAAAGCTTGAGATCTGCGCACATGCGCGGTTGAGCACTGAGTTTCTTCATAGGGCGGCATTCGAGCATGCGCACCACATTGCGATGACGCTTCTCAAGGAGAAGCATTCCATTGGGCCCTGCGATTTCATCAATTTGATGAAAAAGGGAGCGTGGCCTAGCGGGGAGCTCGGCGCTGGAATGGAGATAAGTTTTATTATTAAAACTTACTCAGTTTTTTTTTGTAATGGCAATATCATATAAAAGCAAGAAATATGGCTGGGGGACCTGTCTTTCTTGCTTTTATATGTTGACTATAGTGTCCCTTTAAGTTGTTTCTATCATTTAAACTCCATATCCATTTTCAATTAGATTACATTTCCATAGACATTATGCAGTCAGCCATTCTCTCTCTCACTAGAACAATGCTAATAGGCAGATGCCCAGATGTAGATGTTGTAGAACTACAACTCCCATGATGCGTTGTTATTCTAAAGGCATGCAAAGCATCATGGGAGTTGTAATTCTGCAACATCTGGGGATCTACCTATTGTGCAGCCCTGATCTAGTACATCAGGTTCTATTGTGATGTCACTAACCAGAGAATAGAGAACCCTATTCTTGCTGGTTGTACTAGCATTTCACGAGCATTTTCATTGCAGTGGGATGATTTATTAAGAGAATGAGTAACGCTATTTCTATATTTCAATATCCTCTGGTTTTATGGCTGTGGGGTAATCAACCCCAATCCAGGAATTCTACTAAAAAAGAATTCAGAAAACAGCCAAAGATCCAGCCTTCTACGGACAGGTAAGGGAATAGCTGCTACATGTATCATACTAGATAGGCTTATTAGAAGAATGGGTTAGAGTTCAACAGAGATTAGAATAAAGGATGGTTTCTTAATGGGCATCATCTTTATACATAACATAGCTTTCCTGTAGATTTAACAGTGTCATCTTGAAATGAAAAGTAATAGAAGGGTTAAAATTCTTAAGATGTGAATTTAAGTTTCATCTTTTTGTTATTTATGTTAACAGAAGAGATACAAAATGAACAAAAAAAAAATGAAAGTGTTTAGCCTAGACCATTTCTAGGTATTGAAATAAAGCATGCAGGCAAGGTATACAGTGGTGCATAAACCCCCCAAAGTAAAATATATAGGAATTATTTAAGCGGTTCAATTCTCTACCATTTAGGGGTCAAATCACTTTGATTATGCAGCTCTAATCACACCTACCTGAACTTGACCTAAAAAGTCTCCCATACACATTTCCTGTGAAGAGAGATCTAATGTTGAAACTTTCTTTATTGCACAGTCTGCTTAAATTAGAATTTCATCTCCCATATTCTGTTAATAGTCTGCAGGAACCTCCTGTGTGCTATGAATGGTCAATTAACAGTGCAGTACATACAATCTGCAAAGTAAACACACAGCGCTGTTACATCCTATTGAAAATGAAACTTTTTTTTTTGTCAAGTTGTTTGTGTGAGTCACTGTCCGGGAAGGTTTGGTTAGAGTTGGATAAACAGAAACAAAACTGATTTAACTCTTAAATGGCAGAAAACTGAGCAATGACAGTGCATGGAATCATCCATACACCAACACTGCTTTATTAAGCTAAAGTTGTGTTGGTGCTTAGAGAAGTTTGTTAATATTGTCAATGAACAAAGACAAAATTACAAAATCTTGATCTTGGTGTTATGGTGGCCGCAGTATCCCTTTAACGCCACAACAACAAATTGAAAAATTAAGTGGTTTCTGTACCTATCATTTAAATTCTATTTAAATTTTCAATTGGATTTAATTTCCATAGACATTATGCATTCAGTCATTGTTTCTGCATTTAGACAATCAGGTTCGATTGTGATGTCGCTGACCTAAGGACAGAAATCCTACTCCTGCTGGTCCTACTACCATTTCACAAGCATTTTCATTGCAGTGAGATTTTTTACAGAGACAATGGGTAACACTATTTCTATATTTGAACATCCCCTGGTTTTATGGTTGTGGGGTACTCAACCCCCACCCAGGAATTCTACTAAAAAAGAATTCAAAAAACAGCCAAAGATCCAGCCTTGTACGGACAGGTAAGGGAATAGCTGCTACAGCTATCATAATAGATAGGGTTATTAAAAGATGGTGGTCAGAGTAAGATAGAGATTGGAATAAAGGATGGTTTGTTAATAGGCATCATCTCTATAAATAACATAGCTTCCCTGTACATTTAATAGTTCCATCTTGAAATTAATGGGAGTAATATAAGGGTTAAAATCCATAATATGTGAATTGAATTTTCATCTGTTAAGAAGAGTACCTATCAGATAAGCTAAAATAAGCAAACCAATGAATGTGTGTGGCGTAGTCCATTTGTAGTGATAAAATGTGAAATAAAATAAGCAGGCATGATAAACAGGGGTGCAAAAAAAAAAAAAAAGAAGTTAAATATATAGGAATTAATAAAGGTGTTTTGAGACCCTGATCAGACAGCACCATCCTGGGATGAAATGCAGGATGATATTAATTTGAGCAATCAAAGTTAATTAGTTAACCACACAAATAATAATAATGCATAATATATAATGGCTTCTTTTACCATCTCCTAAACACACTCTGTTATTCCAGAAATAGAATTTCAAATGTATGAAATATTAAAATTCATTAAATCACTTATTCTTTCCTAAATAGGCTTAAAGCTGAGCCCCAGACATTACCCCAGGTATCACCTAGTCTGGATGTTTGTCCAGATCCTGAGAAGGGTAAGAAATGGGAGCCATGGAAGCAGAAAGGTGGGCTTGTGGAAGAAACTCGAAAAATGTACCAACACGGCAGAAAGAGTCTTTGCTTTCCCCCTTCTGTTACATCTAAATTTGCAGAGCTTGATGAAAGGTAAATACTGTATTATCACATTAATCAATGGGGGGAAATCTTGTGCTTATTTTCTGTTGTTGATGTTTTGTTTTAACAAATTCACATGTTGACCTCTATACTGGTGTGAGAATTAGCCTGACCATTTTGTTTGTGTTTTTCTTCAAAAGCTTTAGACGTACCTTTGTCAGCTATGGAATAGAACATAAGATTCCCAAAGTACCATACTATATTCGGGTGACTCCAACAAAAACCAACAAACTGAAGACGTCTGCTCGGCTACCTAGGTAAGTGTATCATGAGACACAGAATGATTGACCACAATGCTATTAGGACATCCAAATGAAACTGCAGTGTCCTCAGTAAGCTAATACCCTGGCTCTCTCACTGGCTGTCTGTGTACACAGAAAACCAATGAGAGAAGAACCACAGATAGAGAAAGATGTCAATGCTCTTTCCGAACCATCACAAATCAGTGGGGAGTACTACGGCAACGTAACTTACTAAGCATTAGCTAAATTCCATAAGGAATACATTTCAAAATATACAGAAGCTTTTATGGTACAAAATAAACTACTGAAATTGCGGTAACCAGAATCGAATATATGAAACATAAATGATCTGATTGTGTCACTTTAAGCTCTCACAAGTCTAGAGGACATTCTTTGTCATACGTCTATGGAGAGGTAAGTGGACAGCGGCTGCAGGTATCCTATTAGATAGGGTTATTAGAAGATGTAGGTCAGAGATGGGTCACAATATGACTCAAATAATAATGACTTCTTTTATAATATCCTAAACACACTCAGTTATTCCAGAAACAAAACATCCAATGTGTGAAATATGAAACTTCACTAATCACTTTTTTCTTTCCTAAATAGGCTACCTCTTAAAGCTGAGCCCCAGATATTGCCCCAGGTATCACCTAATCTGGATGTTTGTCTAGATCCTGAGAAGGGTAAGAAATGGGAGCCATCAAAACAGAAAGGTGGGCTTGTGGAAGAAATTCTAAAAAGTTACCAACAAGGCATAGAGAGACTTCACTTTCCCCCTTCTGTTACATCTAAATTTGCAGAGCTTGATGAAAGGTAAATACTGTATTATCAAATTAATCAATGGGGGGAATCTTGTGCATTTTTCGATTGTTGATATTTTGTTTTAACAAATTTACATTTTAACCTCTATGATGGGTGATATAAGAATTTTACTGACCATTTTGTGTTTTTCTTTAAAACCTTTAGACATACCTATGTCAGCTTTGGAAAACAGGATAAGATTCCTGAAGTACCATACTCTATTCGGGTAACTCCAATAAAAACCAACAAACTAAAGACGTGTGCTCGGCTACCTAGGTAAGTGTATCATGAGACACAGAATAACTGACCATAATGCTATTAGGACATCCAAATGAAACTGCAGTGTCCTCAGTAAGCCAATTCCCTGGTTACCTCACTGGCTGGCTGTGTACACAGAAAACCAATGAGAGAAAAAAACACAGACAGAGAAATATGCCAATTCTCTTTCTGAACCAACATCACAAATCAGTGGGGAGTGCTACAGCAACGTAACTTACTAAGCATTACCTAATTTCCATAAGGAATACATTTCAAAATAAAAAGAAGCTTTTATGGTACGAATAAACTACTGAAATTGTTGTAACCAGAATTGAATATATGAGACAAATGATCTGATAGTGTCACTATAAGCTGTCAGAAGTCTAGAGGATATTCTTTGTCATACGTCTACGGCAGGGGTGAGGAACCTTCGGCCCTCCAGATGTTCTGCACTACATCTCCATTGATGCTTTGCCAGTATTATGGTTGTAAGAACATTAAAGGGGAGATGGAGTCCAAAACATCTGGAGGTACAAAGGATTTCCACCCCTCGTCTGCGGAGAGGTAAGTGGACAGCGTCTGCAGGTATCATATTAGATGGGGTTATTAGAAGATGGAGGTCAGAGTTTAATAGAGATTAGAATAAAGGATGGTGTGTTCATGGGCATTACCTCTATAAATAACATAGCTTTCCTGTAGATTTAATAGCTTCATCAAATGTGTGAAATATGAAAGTACACTAATCACTTTTTCATTCTTAAATAGGCTACCTGTTAAAGCTGAGCCCCAGATATTGCCCCAGATATCACCTAATCTGGATGTTTGTCCAGATCCTGATAAGGGCAAGAAAGGGGAGCCATTGAAACAGAATGGTGGGTTTGTGGAAGAAATTCTAAAAAGTTGCCAGCAAGGCACAAAGAGACTTTGCTTTCCCCCTTCTGATACATCTAAATTTGCAGAACTTGATGAAAGGTAAATCATGTATTATCACATTAATCAAGGGGGGTGGTGGAAGGGGGAGATTTTGTGCTTTTTTCTATTGTTGTTTGTTTTAACAAACAGATTTTAACCTCTTTGCTGAGTGCTGTAATAATTAGCCTGACATTTTTGTTTTCTTTATGTTTTTCTTAGACATAATAACTATGTCAGATATGGAAAAGAGAAGGAGAAGATTCCCGAAGTACCATACTATATTCGGGTGACTCCAACAAAAACCAACAAACTAATGACAAATGCTCGGCCACCTAGGTAAGTGTATTATGAAACACAGAATGGAAGACCCTATACATAAACATATACAAATAAAACTGCAGTGTCCTCAGTACATCAATACCCGGGTTCTCTCACTGGCTGTCTGTGTACAAAGAAAACCAATGAGAGAAGAACCACAGAGCAAGTTGTCAATGCTGTATCTGAACCAACATCACAAATCAGTGGGGAGTTCTACGGCAACATGACTTACCAGGCATTACCTAATTTCCATAAGATATGCATTTTTAAATAAACAGAAGCTTTTATAGTACGAATAAACTACTGAAATTTCTGTAACCAGAATCAAATATATGAGACAAATGATCTGTTAGTGTCACTATAAGCTGTCACAAGTCTAGAGGATATTCATTGTCATACGTCTACGACAGGGGTGGGGACTACATCTCCATTGATGCTTTGCCAGTATTATGGCTGTAAGAGCATTATAGGAGATGCAGTCCAAAACATCTGGAGATTATGAAGGCTCCCCACCACTGGTCTACGGAGAGGTAAGTGGACAGTGGCTGCAGGCATCATATTAGATAGGGTTATTAGAAGATGGAGGTTTGAGTTCGATAAAAATTAGAATAAAGGATGGTTTGCTCATGGGCATCACCTCTATAAATAACATAGCTTTCCTTTAGATGTAATAGTTTCATCTTAAAATGAATGGGAGTAATATACGGGTTAAAGTACTTAAAATATTAATGAATTTTATCTTTTAGTTATTTTTACAACAGACAAGATAAAAAATGAACTAAAAAATGAATGTGTGTAGCCTAGCCCATTTGTAGTGATTGAAATTAAATAAGCAGGCATGGTATACTGGGGTGGAAAAAAATAAATAAAATATATAGGAATTAAAAAAGGTATTTGAGGCCCTAATCAGACAGCACCAACAGGGATGAAATGCAGGATGAAATTAGTCCAGACATTTCATAGGTTTTACAAATCAAATTGAATTATTTAACCATTACAATACGACCCAAATAATAATAAAGTATAATATATAATGGCTTCTTTAATCATCTCCTAAACACAGATATTCCAAAAATATACCATCCAATGTGTGAAATATGAAACTTCACTAATCACTTTTTCTTTCCTAAATAGGCTACCTCTTAAAGCTGAGCCCCAGATATTGCCCCAGATATCACCTAATCTGGATGTTTGTCCAGATCCTGTAAAGGGTAAGAAATGGGAGCCATGGAAACAGAATGGTGGGTTTGTGGAAGAAATTCTACACAATTTCCAACAAGGCACAAAGAGACTTTGCCTTTCCCCTTCTGATATATCTAAATTTGCAGAGCATGATGGAAGGTAAATACTGTATTATCACATTAATCAAAAGGGGGGTGGTGAGGAGTGGGGGGTGGGTGGGAGGGGGATTGTTGATGTTTGTTTTAACAAAATGAGATTTAACCTCTATGCTGGGTGCTGTAATAATTAGCCGGACCTTTGTTTTTTTGTGTGTTTTTCTTCAAAAGCTTTAGACATAACATTAATGTCAGATATGGAAAAGAGGAGAAGATTCCCGAAGTAGCATGCTATATTCGGGTGACTCCAACAAAAACCAACAAACTAATGACACGTGGTCAGCCACCTAGGTAAGTGTATTATGAAACACAGAATGATTGACCATATATACATACATATATACAAATAAAACTGCAGTGTCCTCAGTAAGCCAATACCCTGGTTCTCTCACTGGCTGCCTGTGTACACAGAAAACCAATGAGAGAAGAACCACAGATAGAGAAACATGTCACTGCTCTTTCTGAACCAACATCACAAATCACTGGGAAGTACTACGGCAATGTAACTTACTAAGGATGACCTAATTTCCATAATGAATGCTTTGTAAAATAAACAGAAGCTTTTATGGTACAAAATAAACTACTGAAATTGCTGTAACCAGAATGTTTTATATGAAATATAAATGATCTAATAGTGTCACTATAGTTGTGCGATAACTGATAAATACAAAGTGATAGGTTGGCTGACAGACCAAAGTGAGAGGATAGCTGAAGAGGAATAAGATAAGTGACAAAATGGGCTGATGGATGGAAAGGGAGGAAAGGATAGAATTGTTACAATTGTATTTTGACTTTTCCTATTTAATTGCAGGGACCCATTCCGTTTTACTAAAGTAAAGCCTACATTACTTCCAAGACAAAACATAGCAACTGAAAAGGCTGCAAGTGTCCCAGAAAAGGAAGTAGTCAAAAAAGGACCAGAAAATGAAAAAGATTCTGCTGAGTATTATAAACAGAATACTATTATACAGCCTGAACCTGTCACAAGTCTAGAAGATATTCCTTGTCCTTTGCTGCAGTCTATGTCTCTAGAGCCTACAGCTGTTGTCACATGTTTAGAAAACAACAATTCTCTAGAATGCCCTGTTTGCACTATCGAACCTCATACAAATAGATTGACAGAGGATATGCCAGTGAACCTTAGTCATCCACAGTCCACTTTCAATTCATCTAACCCTACAAATCAAGATTCACAGAACCCAGTCACAGGTTATTGTCATTTGCTGCAGTCTATGTCTCTAGAACCTACAGAGGTTGTCCTGTGTTTAGAAGACAACAATTCTCTCGAGTGCCCTTTTCGTACTATCGAACCTCATACAAGTGAATTGACAGATGAGTTGACTGTAAACCTTGATCAGCCACAGTCCACATTAAGTTGTCCATCTGAGCCTACAAATATAGATTCTCAGGACCCAGTCACAGTTGGTCCTTCACTGCAGTCTATGTCCCTAAAGGCTACAGAGGTTGTCACATGTTTAGACGACAACATTTCTCTAGAGTGCCATGTTTGTGCAATCGAACCTCATATTCTGCCACAGTCCACTTCAGGTTGTCATCCTGAGCCTTCTAATCTAGATTCTCTGGAGACTGTCACAGTTCAGGAACAGAGTATTCTTCTTGATGTCCAGGTTTGTCCTGCTAAACCACAAACTAATGAAATGTTAGAGGAGCTGCCAGTAAACTCTGCCACTGTGATTTATCCCTCTGAGATGACTTTGGATTCCCCCACTGTTAAGCATGAGGAGTTGTTTCTAATTAAGCAAGAGGGCACCCTTGAGCAGAAGCAAATTGAGATAGAGAATAATCAGCCTGCATCATATAGGAGCCTGAGCAGTGACCCTAAAAAACAAGGATTGCCAGAAACAGAAGAAAAAGAACAACCTGGTAAGGCTGATGTGGTTCCAAAGCCAATTACAGAAAGCCAAGACCTTGCAGTACCTTCACTCCAAGATAAGTTGGATATCAAAGCAAAGGTAGAAAGGGTATCCTACGACAGGAATTTCTTACTCCAGTTCAAATCGATCACGGAGGAACCAAAGGACTTTTCTGAAATCTGTAAAATCCACCAAGGCATGGTTATTAGACCTCACCTTCGGCCAGTGGATCCATCACAATTAACTCGCAGAAATTGGACACCTCAATCTGCAAATTCCTGCTACCCTTCTAAGGGTAATCGCAGATTGCCACCGGGAATCCATCAAATGAGGTCTCCGCAAGCTCCTGTTAAAGAACGTCGACGAATCCTTGAACTAAATGAGAATGTGAAACTGCAAAAATGTGAAAAAGCTTGGAGACCTCCCATGAAAAGGGCAACCGAAGATCCCAGTAGAGTCAAGGCTGAAGAACTGTTTCGGAAAGTTCGCGGTATCCTGAATAAGATAACTCCTCAGACATTCGAGCACTTAATTCACCAGGTAAAGGACCTCTCTGTAGACACAGAGCATCAGCTTAAAGGAGTCGCAGAACTCATATTTGAAAAAGCAGTAGCAGAGCCTCATTTTGCAGTTATATATGCAAACATGTGTAACTGGCTAATGAGGCTTGAGGTCCCAACTGAAGAAAATTGTGAAGTGTGCATTACATTCCGCAGGCTGCTGATAAGGCTCTGCCAGGTGGAGTTTGAGACACGTGAAAAAGGTGGTGAAAGAATTGAAGAACTTCAGAAGGAACTGGACGCAACTATATCACCTAATGAAAAGGCTCGAATAAAGGAAGAATTGAGTGATGCCTGTAAAAGAGCACGCAGGCGATCCCTTGGAAACATCAAATTTATTGGAGAGCTATTTAAATTAAAGTTGCTCTCAGAAGCCACCATAAAAGACTGCCTTATTAAGCTACTAAATAAGAACACCGAGGAGTCCATGGAGTGCATCTGCCAGTTGTTGACATCAGTTGGAAAACACCTTGAAAATGGACAGCCTGGCATGGACAATTATTTCCACAAGCTTAATATCTTTATTAAAAACAAGACCTCTTCTAGGATTAGATTTTTGGTGCAGGATGTGCTGGACCTGAGGAAAAATAACTGGGTACCGCGACACAAACCTGAGGGGCCAAAAACAATTGACCAAATTCATAAAGAGTCAGAACAGGAATCCAAAAAAAAAGTGCAGTAAACCCAAAAAAAAAAAAAAACCCTCAAAAAAAACCACACAGTATCTGAACATGTATAGCTCGGAGGAAAGTATAAATTGGAGGAAAGACGAGACAGGAGAATATGATAAAAACATTTACATATATAAAGGAAACCAACAACATAAAGGAGAAGAGTATATTTAAAAGGAAAACAGTCACAACAAGAGGACAGTCTTAAATTAGAGGAGCAAAGGTTTAATAATAATATCCGGAAGTATTACTTTACTGAGAGTGTAGTGGATGCATGGAATAGCCTTCCAAGTGAAGTGGTAGAGTTTAACACAGTGAGGGAGTTTAAAAATGAGTGGGATAGACATAAGGCTATTCTAGATACAAGAGACTAATGAAAGCATTCATAAAATTGGAGACTAAATGGGTCAAATGGCTCTTATCTGTCATCACATTCTAAGTTTCTATGTTTCTGTTCTACGGACAAAAAGACATATGCAACAAATACACAAAGACAAGCCTGCCTATTCATTTACATAAAAAATAATTAAGGCAATGACAACCAAGTTTTATTCACAAAGCAACACATACTCATATACAGAAAGAGACATACATATTCATCCACAAACACAAACATTTATTCAAAGACAAATTCAGACAATTATGTAAAGACAAACATACACTCACACACTTCCTAATGGCAACTTTAACAATATTTATTCAGATAAAAAGGCACACCCATTTTATGAAACAAACACATTAGTGGTAGCATAAAAACATGATTTAGCTATTTTCATCATTGCCAAATAAAATACAGAGTGAAATGCACATTAACAACATGCAAGGTTCACTGGCCTTCACCTGCAGAATTCACACTTAGCATGCCAGAACCACCATTGTTTTCCTAGACATATGTATTTTATATATTGTTCATTTTATTACAAAAATAAAGTCTGTTCTTCAAATTTACCTTGTTATACTGATGTTGGTTTGTTCTTTGGATGTGTTTTATTGCCAGGGCTGTTGCGAAGTTAAAAAAATTCCTATAGAGTCAGTCCATATTACAGGGAGTGCAGAATTATTAGGCAAATTAGTATTTTGACCACATCATCCTCTTTATGCATGTTGTCTTACTCCAAGCTGTATAAGCTCGAAAGCCTACTACTAATTAAGCATATTAGGTGATGTGCATCTCTGTAATGAGAAGGAGTGTGGTCTAATGACATCAACACCCTATATCAGGTGTGCATAATTATTAGGCAACTTCCTTTCCTTTGGCAAAATGGGTCAAAAGAAGGACTTGACAGGCTCAGAAAAGTCAAAAATAGTGAGATATCTTGCAGAGGGATGCAGCACTCTTAAAATTGCAAAGCTTCTGAAGCGTGATCATCGAACAATCAAGCGTTTCATTCAAAATAGTCAACAGGGTCGCAAGAAGCGTGTGGAAAAACCAAGGCGCAAAATAACTGCCCATGAACTGAGAAAAGTCAAGCGTGCAGCTGCCACGATGCCACTTGCCACCAGTTTGGCCATATTTCAGAGCTGCAACATCACTGGAGTGCCCAAAAGCACAAGGTGTGCAATACTCAGAGACATGGCCAAGGTAAGAAAGGCTGAAAGATGACCACCACTGAACAAGACACACAAGCTGAAACGTCAAGACTGGGCCAAGAAATATCTCAAGACTGATTTTTCTAAGGTTTTATGGACTGATGAAATGAGAGTGAGTCTTGATGGGCCAGATGGATGGGCCCGTGGCTGGATTGGTAAAGGGCAGAGAGCTCCAGTCCGACTCAGACGCCAGCAAGGTGGAGGTGGAGTACTGGTTTGGGCTGGTATCATCAAAGATGAGCTTGTGGGGCCTTTTCGGGTTGAGGATGGAGTCAAGCTCAACTCCCAGTCCTACTGCCAGTTCCTGGAAGACACCTTCTTCAAGCAGTGGTACAGGAAGAAGTCTGCATCCTTCAAGAAAAACATGATTTTCATGCAGGACAATGCTCCATCACACGCGTCCAAGTACTCCACAGCGTGGCTGGCAAGAAAGGGTATAAAAGAAGAAAATCTAATGACATGGCCTCCTTGTTCACCTGATCTGAACCCCATTGAGAACCTGTGGTCTATCATCAAATGTGAGATTTACAAGGAGGGAAAACAGTACACCTCTCTGAACAGTGTCTGGGAGGCTGTGGTTGCTGCTGCACGCAATGTTGATGGTGAACAGATCAAAACACTGACAGAATCCATGGATGGCAGGCTTTTGAGTGTCCTTGCAAAGAAAGGTGGCTATATTGGTCACTGATTTGTTTTTGTTTTGTTTTTGAATGTCAGAAATGTATATTTGTGAATGTTGAGATGTTATATTGGTTTCACTGGTAATAATAAATAATTGAAATGGGTATATATTTGTTTTTTGTTAAGTTGCCTAATAATTATGCACAGTAATAGTCACCTGCACACACAGATATCCCCCTAACATAGCTAAAACTAAAAACAAACTAAAAACTACTTCCAAAAATATTCAGCTTTGATATTAATGAGTTTTTTGGGTTCATTGAGAACATGGTTGTTGTTCAATAATAAAATTAATCCTCAAAAATACAACTTGCCTAATAATTCTGCACTCCCTGTATATCTCACATACACCTTCCTAAGCACTACCGGGCAGTTGTAGTTATGGTGTCTGAATTTTCCTGCTGCCCTCACAGGATAAGTAGTCAAACTTTTTGACATTGTGCCCAAAAGCTCCTGCACTGAACTAAACCAGTATTCGAGGGCTTAGGTCATTGATTGAGAGTGCTCACCTTACCATCTCAGCAAGCAGGATTAAAAAAGTGGAGTTAATGGAAGTTCCTTCTATCACTATGTAAGCTGCAAGGGGACTACTAGCACCATAACTACTGCTGCATACTGTTATGGTGCTTCAAATATTCCTTTAAACCCTTTTAGGGCTGGGGTATAGTTAGTGGATTGTTTTGGAGCAAAATAATGCACTGCATATCTCAGTCACTGAACGGGTAAAGCTCTGCAGGCTGTTAGACTATGTCTCCCTTGTTGTAGTCCAGTGGACATTAATATTAGGGAGTTAAATTACTCATTTAATGTTTCTTAAAACCAATGCACATATTTGCTACAAACTTTCAGGGTTATTCACTACAGTAGGACTTAAAAGTGAATTTCAAATTTAAGGACAAAATAGCCAAATTGGAAGCATAGCTGACTTGGAGAATTTCCATTTAATCACTTTGGCCTCAAATTTAAAATTCACTTTGAATTCCCAGTAATTTTTTAGTTTAGTTGATAACCCTCCAAGGATCCATACTCACTGGCTGCCTGAGAATCATCTGTGTTTCATAAAATAATTATCAGCGCAAGATACCACACATGTATTTGGAGTAGCAATGCAAATCATAAATGTTGCAGGAGAAATACCCTTTATTTACATAAAAAGTCAGTAATTTTTCTTTAAGAATATCAGAAAACATTTATGTTTTCACTCCAAATAAATGTGCAGTGAAATAGTGCATCCTTAAAAGTAACACCATAGTCACTAAAAGAACTTTCGCTTGCTGAAGCAGTTATGGTATATAGATCATGCCCCTGCAGTTTCACTGCTTGTGACTGACCGCAAGGCACCCCGACTGGGTGCCTCCGCCAATCGCTGCTTCCTAGTAGCCTGGAGTGCTATAAGCACAGCACGGGACACCATAAGCACTGCCGCAGCTTGTCCTCCACCCACCCTGGACCCAAGCCCAGGATCCAGCTTCCAGTGGGTGGACCTCTCCTACTCCAAAGATTAGAGCAGGTATAGCAGTGTAGCTCTTACAAGAGATAGTGATTATAGCAATCCAAAGAACAATCCCAAGAGCAGGGAGGGATATTGTAATACCATATTCCGATAAGCATAAATCGCCCAGTATCGTGACTGGTCAGGACTGCCGAAATCACCTTCCCCCTCAAGGGCCTTCCATAACACTGTAGTTTTGTCTGACCGTGCACATGGTCCTATGCCCAAAACAGTTCTAGGAAATTAGGGCTAACGGTTGGTCTCTTATTCTGGAGTACAAGAGTACATAAATCACATATGTTTTTAAAGGGCCCATAGTCTTTAGGCAAGAGGCTGGCCAGCAGGCTCCACAAGGAGCCAATGGCGAAGTTACTTTCGCCACACAGCTCAATTCTCTGCCATGTTGGAGTTAAATACATTTTTGTTTATGAAGCCCTAACTACACCTCCTCTGGCTGTGACTGACACTGCCTGCATGACAAAAAATAATGGTTTCACTCTCAGTCAGATGTAACTTAATTTAAAAGTATTTTTCTCCTACTCTGTAAATTTAACTTTAATGATATACAGGAGGCTCCTGCAGGGTCTAGCAAGCTATTAAAAGAGCAGGTGATAAAAAAAAAAAAATTATATAAAAATAAAATATATATTTGCACTAAAAGGAAGTATAAACAGTTAAATCTTTACAGGAAGTGTTTAGGAAGGCTGTGAAGTCACATGCAGGAAGGTTTGGCTGGAGCTGTGTAGACAAAGCGAGTTAACTCATAAATGGCAGAGAATTGCTTCATTAAGCTAAAGTTGCATTGCTGACTATAATGTCGCTTTAATATGCTCTTTGCACTTTTAGCGATTTGTCCTTTCTTCATACTGTAAATTGCATTGTAAAAATCAAACGGTGCTACTGCTGAGGACTATATTTGGTAGCATAGGGGCAATCATCTGTTTCAGGTACCACATTCACCTACTCTTTTTTATTTTGAATTTACGTGCCTATGATTTCAATCCATTTTTGAAAGTTATACTGCAAATATTGCAAGGAGTGAATTGTCATCTTAAAACTAAATATTTGTAAATGTTTACATGAGGGAACTATACTTTTAACATCAATTACCAGATTCATTAGAAAGTAACTCAATGTAAAAGTTAGATTCTCGCATCAGGGGATTTAACTAAGCACATTTTGACACATTGAATTCAACCATTCTATCCATAACCTTTGCCAGGACTGCTTGTTATATAGTTAGCACTT